TCCAGTCTATACACCTGCACAAGAAGGGAACGGTATTATAGAATCTTCATTTCCAGAGATGAGGCCAAGGCTCACAGGAATCACAGGACTTGTCCTAAATCCCTGAGTTAGTAAGTAGAGAAGCCAGGATCGATCCTGAAGTCACTTGGCCTGCAAAGCCCTCAGTGTCTATTTTGACAACATAAAGGTCGTTCCTGCCCGAAGAAGAGAAAGAGAAGTGGAGGGGAGCACTAAGTGCCTGGCTAGTGTCAGCAGAGGAAGAAGATGAAGTCAGCTGTCTGTGTGGTAACTGCACAACGCCTCGGCGCCCTACATCCCTGCCTTGTAGAGCTGCTTTTGAGGTTTTGTCCTCCCATGAGGCCGACCAGATTCAGGCCAGGGCTCCTCAGCGTGGCCCCCCCGCCCTGGTCCTGGTCCCAATGCTGTCAGGGCCTGTAGAAGCAGCCTGCATGTTGACAAATTCGTTACCAACTACCCCTGGGCATTCATGAACTCCACTTCACCCACAACCTACCACGCAGGCAAACTCACGCAGCAACAAGCCTACTGGGCCAAAACGAAAATCCATAGCTCCTGCCCCATCTGTGCTCAAAACTGTCAGTGTGACTCTGGACACATCATCTCACCGCTTTATAACTCAGGCCCCTCTCGGGAAACGCTGTGTAGGAATAACAAGAACCTTCCGCGTGTGAGAAGTAGAGGAATCAGGGTCCACAAGTCCCTTTAACACAGCAGCTGCCGCACAGTCCATACACAGTCGCTGTTAGGCCTAAGTTGAGCCTCAGCCCCTTCCTCAGCAAATGAACTTGGCATCTGTGGCTGATCCTGGGAGCCCAGCATCGGCACCATCCAGCCTCCTGTGACTTGCCTGTGCCAGCTGCCAGCAAGAGCCAGGGGCTCAGCCCAGGTTGTCAGGCCCACCCTGGTGGGATGAATTTTTCCTTGGCCACCACCGCCACTTCACCAGTGTATATTTGAAAACTAATAGCATACACAGGCGCCACGTATGTATTCCATATGCATGATGCTTAGCAGACTCATTGACTTAGGGACCCGCAGGATAACTGCAAGGGCCACCCAGTGCCTGGCACCTCCAGTTCAGGAATCAGGGGATTGAAAGCAGGAGAGGTTAAGGGACTTATTAAGCAGTGTAGCCAATTACAGGGTGGAACTGTGTTGGTCTCCACTCCTCAGGGTAACAAACCTACGTGTCTTCTTATCTTCCCAAAACCGGCTTCACCAAGGTGGCCTGGAAATAGTGAATGTGTAAATTTACCAGTGTATAAATGTATAAATTTACCAATAGCCAGTGGCCTCCAGAAGGATCTCAAAGCTCTCATACTGAGCACCTCACCCTCTTCCCATTAATTAAGAATTGTATTTCCAAGCCCCAAAGGTAACTCTCTACTTAAATTTTGCATGCCCTTGGTGTGTCTTCATTGCTCAGATCCCTCAGAACACCCTGTCATCTGCCACCACCTCTTAATCCTGATATCTCCCTGGGCAGGACAGGTACTTTAATGCAGAAGGAAAGCAAATGTCCACCGACCCAGTGCTTACAGGGTTGGTGGGTTAAGACCCACACAAAAGCAGTCCCTCCTGACTTAGAGCTGCCTTGACATTGTCCTCATTTTGGTCCTGAAGCCCTTTTGACTTGAGATGCAGAGGGATCCCAATCTGTATCCATAAACACACATATGAAGCCCAGTAGCTCTAGTGGGATGGAAATATGGTGACAGGCATGAATTTGGGTGTCACATCACACAGTCCTCATGTTTCAAGAGAAATGGACAAGACTTCCCCATCAGGCTGTCACACATCTACTGCAAATAAGCCTTGTCCTCGTAAGGAGGAATAAGCTACAAAGAATGATTAAGCAAATAGACAAGCAATAATAACAATAGTAGAGTAAAATAAATGCTGTAATAGATGCATCAACAAAACAGTATTTGGAGCAAGCTAAAAGGTACAGGAAAGGTCCCACTGTGTGGGCTAATCCAGAAATATATTATGGAGATGGTGACATTTGAGTTGTTCTGCATGGACAGAGGGCATCTGCGTGGAGAAGAGGAGGAAGCATTCATAGCAGAGCAAAGAGCTTGCAGAAAGTCACAAAGCCAGCATCAGCTGGGGCCTTGTGGGGAACAACAACAACTCCATGCTTCTGACCAGAGATTATGAAAGTCGGGACCTGGTGGGAAGTACGTCTGTCCCCATTGCAGGTTAAGTCAAGGAATCTTTTGCACCATCAGGACATCACAAAGTTTTGAGAAAGGGGTTTGGTGAAGAAGGAAAAGAGCTTCTCCACCTCCTCTGCTCCATGGTGATATTTCTTCCTTCCTCAAGGGTAAGAAGGAAGTTGAAGGCTTCCACTTGGTTCTAGGAGCTCTGCCTGTGAGTTGGACACCTAGATCTAGGATATTCAGAGTCCCTGAAAACTGGCACGTTCTGGATTTTCTGCCCAAACCCAGGACACTAATGAACACATTAGCTATGTGTCCCTGCCAGGATCAGAATTTAGAGAAACAGTAGAGCCAACACAACTTGTCAGGTCAGGGATTAGACCTAGAAGCCTAATAAATCCTCTCTAAATCTCTAGAGAATCTCACGTATCTGCCTAATCCTTCCTGGCATCTCTGGACTGAACTTGAGCTTCTGGGAGGCTCTGACCAGGCCCTCTAGGGGGTGTTTTGGGAAAAGGTCCAGTTGGAGTAAAGAGAAAAAGCTCAGAACTGTTTGCTACTTTTCTTTTCTACCAAGAAGCACACCTCCATCACCCTAACTTCTAGTTAAGACATGCGAGCAACAGGTACCAGCACATTCTCTCTTCATACCCAGGCAACACCAAGCAACAGCTGTCTGGCTTCCAGAATTGCTTTTCTTCAATGTTTTTGTTGACTGCAAAGCAGAGTGAGCAGAAGATGAGAAAGGGTCTCAACTTCTGATCAGTCACCAGCCTCTCTCTGCCTCCAATATTCCCATAAAATATAACTGCTAATTAAAGGCACTAACTTAGGACAACTCTTCACAAACTTTATAAACTAACCAATTATACCCTCGGTTCCAAACTCTCAGTCCAGTTTCTCCCACCTTATCTTCCTCAGCCCCACTCACACACTTCAGCCATCCTCCCTCCAACAACCACAACCACACACACACACACACGCACACACACATGTGCACACACACACACACACACACACACATCCACTTCAGATTTCTAGAGCTGATTCCTCCTGCAGACAAAGTCCTGCCTGGGACACATATAAAATCATAGGCTTTAGAAGCAGGGTGACCTAAATTCAAATTCAGATCTACTACTTTCTAGGTATGTGAACTTTGGGTAGTTTACCTAACCTCTTTGTGCCTTGATTTCTTCATCTGTAAACTAGATGCAACAATACCTATCTCACAGTTATCTCATAGACAAAGCACCTGGCTTGTTACTTCCCTTCCCTAACTTTCCCTTCATTCCCAAACATTTCTAGAAGTTCGAGTTCCTTCACATAAAGCTGACCACATCACCCAGAGAAGGAAGACCTAATCTGTTACAAGGTTCCCACTCGTATATGTGGCCTCTTCAAATACTCATAAGTACCATAGCAACCTCCTCCGCCTCTTCCTGCTCCTGAAGGTTAGATCCCCTACTCTGCTCTGCCCTGGCCAGCCCCCAGCCCACCTCCACCCCAGGACTGGAGCCGGTGCCCCTCCATGAGGACAGTGAGCACCACACAGCCTGCTGCTTACCCTACTAAGGTCTGCAGCCCATCCAGGGCTCTGTCTACCTGACTTGCTGGACCATGTGTGACCCCTGCCAGTAGCTATGACCAAGACCCTCAATGCAGCCTTCCCATTCAAACCGTCATTCCCTTTCCCTTGCTGCACACTGATGTGTGAGGGAGGGTGGCAAAGATGGTGGTCCCCATCCAGAGTCATGAGAGGCTACACATTGTCCTGAAAAACGTCCCTGGGAATGTGCTATCAGACCTCCGACTGCTGCATTCTCAGTGACCACGGCTCTTCTTGCATGGAGGAAAAGTCTGATATTTGTGAAGTGCCAAAAGTCAGTGAGAGAACAAACAGCAGCACACTGCTGCAGAGAAGGCCAGGTCCTGGAGTCTAAGGGGCTCTGGTCCAACCCCATCATCACTCCTTCATTGAGGAGCATTCACAAAATGGGCTCATCCATAACACCTGATTGTCATGGGTACCGCACAAAAGTGAGATGGGAATGACAATCAAATGCTAATTACTCTTATTATTAACCTCTTGGAGACTGGGATTAACAAACAGGCTATAAGCTCTGGGAGAGTAACCCTAGGATCTTAGCCCTAAGTCTGAAATGGAGCGAGCTTTCCACAATTATTTGCTGATTGGTCAACTGGTTGAGTTCCCGGTCTTTCCAGGCAACTTGTAGGTGATCATGTTAACCTCTTCCCTCTTGAGCTGGAAAATATTACCTGCTTGTAGCATGTGGTAGGAGAGGTGCTAAATTTATTTTTGTTTTGATAAAAAATGAGACCAAACCATAAAGAAATGAGACTAGCTAGCTTTCTCGAGTGACATAAACTGGGCATGGAAGGTAATTCCAAACAAGAATCAAAAATTGTTCAAACTTATAACATTGGCACAAAACCCAGGATGAAAAGAAAACCCCTCTAGACAGAGACGTTCTTGAATGTTTGAACAAAAAGAGTCCTGTGACTCTCTAGGTTCATGGAGACAGGAACACTGACCAGGAAGCCCTGCCTTTGCCAAGCATAGCAAACCCCGGCTTGTAGAAAGGAGCTTCATTTATGGTGACAGGCCCAAGTGCAGTAGGAAGGGAGTGCTAACAGACTGAGGCAGCCACGGGTCAGAAGGCAAAACAGAGAAGAGAGGAGGTGGGGCTGGGTTGGGCTGAACCTTGAATGAATCAAGCCTTCCTGAAGGGTGGGGACATCCCTTGTCTAAAACACAAGCTTGATGAAATCCTCTATAAAAGGTTCTTGTCCCGCTGACCTGGTACTGCACACACTGCTTAACAGCCACACTTGCCTCATCCTGCCTGGGCATTAGGTAAGTCCCCTTTTGAGGAATCTTTCTTATTTTTAGTGTCTTGGTGATCTGAGCTCATGATACAAGCTGTACATCACAGTGCCAGCTGTGGGCAGGAGGTGTCTTCTTTGATCGGGCCTCAACAAAGCAGGAGCCAGAGCCCATTGGGAAATAACAGCCTCCTGAAGCCATCGAGATTTTTCCTCCTCCCAAACCCAGTGTAGCCTGGTCAGCAGCAGCTCCGCTCACTAGAAATATCCCTCTGAGCAGCAGAGCTGCCCACGTGGCCTCCTGGATCGGCACAGGTCTCTCACTCCCGGGGTTCTGGAAGGCTGTTTACAGTGCAGAGAGTCCGCAGGGCCAGAATCAGTCACTTCTGCCAACACAGACCATGAGCTCCAGTCGTCTCAGGGAGGACAGGACATACGTGACTGTCGGGCCCTACACCTGACTGACATTTAGACAAGACGATTTTGTAGATTTATCCTACAAATCTGAAGTATAACTAAATGGCCATTTAATTATTATGATTATAGATCGTTCTGCCTCAGGGTTTAAAAATACATATATTTTTCATTTGTGTTGAGGAGTTCATCCATGTCAGGAACTGAGGTCCCTCGATGTACACAAGAAGAGTCTGCCTGGAACTGTTGGCTTCCAGGTCACAGAAAGGATGGCCCTGGGGTCTGCACCCTCTCGGTCCTTCAGGCCACACTGTCTTGCTTCTTCTGTCACTCAGCTCCCTTTCCTTTCCTGACTCTCACGCTTCTCTAACCATGCAACGCTCTCTCCACACAGTTCTCCTTTACATCTCCAGAGTCCTGTCTGGCTTTCCAGCTGTGGAAAGTTCCCACCTTCCCTTGCACTTGAACCTTCGATAATGTCAACTTCGATGTCTCTTCCCTTTGGTCTCTTAGAGGCTTCTGCTTAATGCATTTCCTGGACCGAGGCCTCTTGCCATTTGGTCACATCCTAGTTCCTGAGCACATTCCCCAAAGGAGTCAAGAGAAGACGGAGCTGGGCCCTGGCATCCCGACGGGCTCCCAGCCAAGGCAGACGTGGACTTACTGTGCACTTGCTGACTTGTAGTGCTCCCAGAAAGATTCTAACACCCTCGTGATAGGCAAATAAAATGTCGCCTGTCCAGAGCGTGCATTCTAGAAAACCCATTGCATGTGCGTTAAGAAGAGATGGGTTCTAGGATTCCTTGGTTTCTTTAAGGGTGAGTGGTATTGGGCAAATTGCGTACCTTCTCTGGCCTATTTCCTCACTTATACAAAGTGGAGATGATGAGGATTACAAGAGATGAGGCACCGGAAACTGCTTTGTGAGCAGTCGAGTGTAGAGGTGACACAAATTATGTGTGTATATATAATAACAATAATGATATTTAATAGCTAGCACTTAGTAGAAGCCAGGTATTTTCCAAGCACTTTTTAAATGAATTATCTCTTTAAATGTTCGCGATAACCCTACAAGTAAGTACTAGTGTTGCCTTTAGTCACAATGGGTAAACCGAGGCCTGGGGAGGAAGTGCGATTTGGCCTGGGCCACACAGCCTGCAGGTGACAGTCAGGCATTTAACTGCTGACTCAAGAGCTGCTACCAGTCACTGTGTGCTCCTCCTCTCCACAAATAAAGCACACTCTGGAGGAAAGGACGAAGGCAGACAGAGACCAAGAGCAGAGCTGGGATGTAAGGAAAGGCCAGAGGAGCAGAAGTGACGTGAGGGAGCAGCTAAGGCTGCTTACGCAGCCTCGAGGGAACCTTTTGTCTCTTCCAGTTGACTTCAAAGATGCCTCAGTTACTGCGAAACATTCATGGGATCATTGAGGCCTTTGGGCGCTACGCCAGAACGGAGGGCAGCTGCACAGTGCTCACCCGAGGGGAGCTGAAGAGGCTGCTGGAGCAGGAGTTTGCTGATGTCATAGTGGTATGCTGTGCCCGGGTGGGGAGGGACAGAGGAAGGACAGTGCAGCATGTTTGTCTGGGGATCGAGGAGGCCACAGCTCACTCCAGGCCTGGAAAGAGAAGGAGGCAGCCATGGAAATGGACAAGTCTTAGTTTTAATTAATTCTAATTGGAAGACAAGCTAAAACAACTCTATAGCGTCAGCTCAAGGCAGAGCAGATCCTTGAAATAGTCTAGAAAAGAAGAGAATTGCTGCTTTCAGCTATTTCTTAAATTTGATGCAGTAAACACTTCCTGTGCCTAGCTAAAATCTGATCATCCATTAAGCTTTCACTAGAAGCATAAAGTAGTTGCTCAGAAGTGAGATTTTAGAGCACAGGTTAACAGCAGGGGTTGGGGGAGAGATTCTGGGAGCACTTCCCTGCGTCTCAAGTGGTCAGGGACAGTCAGGGACAAGGATGTATGGGCATAGCAAGACACTGCCTCTGTAGGCTCAGAGCAACCCCGCAGTCCTCCTGAACCCACCCAACACACCTGGGGAGCATCTGCTAAGTGAGGGGTCCTCAGAGCCCTGTACCTTAGAGTCCAGCCCAGCTTTACGAGAACGTTATTCATTCTCAAATACATCTTTATCCAATTGTCCTATAGGCCAGAAACTGGCAGATGGAGTGGATACAAAACAAAAGGGGCTTTAGGCAGGACTTGTAAAGATACAGGAAGTTAAGTGGGACAGACAGCTGCATGCCTGCTGAGTATGGTGGCCCTGAGGGGCCCCTGGAAGCCTGACGCTGGGCGGAGTGGAGTGAGGCACTTCGTCCTCGGGAAAGGGATGCTGACTCCGCCTCATCTTCTCCCCAGAAGCCCCATGATCCAGCCACTGTGGATGAAGTTCTGCACCTGCTGGATGAAGATGAGACAGGGACTATAGAATTCAAGGAGTTCCTGGTCTTAGTGTTTAAAGTAGCCCAAGCCTGTTTTAAGACATTAAGTCAGAGCGTTGGAGGAGCTTGCAGGTCTCAAGCGTCTGGGAGCCACCACACTGGGTTCTCGAAAGATACTGGGGAAGGTCAGAGGAGTGGCACTGAAGTAGGAAGGGCCAGCAAAGGACAGCGTCATGAAGGAAGCAGCCACGGGCAGGGTGAGCAGGCTTCCCGAGGGCAGGGAAGGCCCGGGACTCAGACCCAGGTTCAGGACATCAGCTCTCCACAGGTCAGCAGCCATGACAGGCAGGCCTCGTCCCAGGGACAGGTCCAGGTGAGCCAGCAGACACGAGTGACGGGGTATGTGGAGCAGACTCAGGGAGCGGGAGACAATGAGAGTCCTCAGGCAAGCGAGAGGAAGTGGAAAAGACAGTCACCGATCAGCGAACAGAAAGGGGTGACCAGAACCAGAACCACATCACAGGTCCAGACAGGGGCGACCCAGACTGTGGAACAGGACAGGAGCCACCAGACGGGAAGCACCAGCACGCAGACACAGGGGGCCTCCCACGGCCAGACCAGAGAGACCAGCCAGGCTGTGAAGGGACACGTCCAGTCACAGGCAGGGTCACATAGTCAAACACACATCCAAACAAGGGAACAGGAGAGGAGCCACCATACAGGAAGCACCAGCATCCGGACACAGGGGGCCTCCCACGGCCAGACCAGACAGACCGAGGCCCAGAGTCAAGACAGCAGCCAGACCAGCCAGGCTGTGAAAGGACACGTCCAGGCACAGGCAGGGCCACACAGCCAGGCCACAGAGCAGGACAGGAGTCAGACTGTAAGCCATGTAGAGGACAGAGGTCAGGGACAGACCCAGGCACATTCAGGCTGTGGTCAAAGAGAGACACAAGCAAGTGGGGCGGGGCGGGCCCAGACCGGGACAAGCACTGTGACAGGGCAAGGAGATCCGAGCAGCACTCAGCCCAGCGGGGCCGGAGGTCAGGGGGAGAGAAAGCCCACAGAGGTGAGAGAGGAGTGGGTCGATGACCACTCGAGGGAAGTGGTGATCCGAAGCCAGGACCGAGGCGGCCCACACGCCCGCCCTCCTTCAGAGTAGGGGCCAGAACACGGCCCAGCCACAGAGAAAGGTGGCATCACCACCGCCCAGGGCTGTATTCCCACCTGAAAGGCAACCGGCCAAGACTGAGTCCAGTGCCCAGTGCCGAGGGACAGCCAGAGAGGGACCGGCTCCTCCTGCTCTGGTCAGTCCACCGGCACATCCCTGGACATCAGCTCTTCATTACGGTGCTTCCCCTCCAGTTCCCTCTCAAAGAGAACATTTCCACAAGGTCCTCTCTCTCCTAAACTCCTCTTAATGGCTTTGCTGTGCAGACTCTCAGGAACTGGGAGGAAGTCATTCATTTCTGCTGTGTTCTTAACTTGTAGGGGTCTTTGGAGCTACTTGTATCTGCCATCTGTCTATGGTCCGCCTATCCTAATGCGTCAATAAAACTTTCTTAAGCAATTTGCCTCTGCGTCTCATTCACTTACCTTCTATTGATTTGGTGGGCTAAGGGTTATTGGGTTACGATGAGCTGAATATAGTCCCATCCCATGAGGAACATTTAATCGACAAAGTATTGTATGAGATAGATAGATTGATTGATTTTGGTAATACTAAAAATTGTACCTAGGGCCTTCCCACTGAGGTACATCTCCAGCTCTTTTCTTATTTTTCATTTTTAGAAAAGGTCTCACTAAGTCTCTAAGTTTCCCAGGGTTTGAACCTGTGATCCTGCTGGGTGCTGGGATTATAAACCATGCACCACCACCCCCAGCTACTTTTGTGAGAGATTCTAAGAGTTACAGTCAAAGAAAGGAGAATACAATACTGAATACTTGGTAGACATAGGTCAGGGAAGCCTTCCTTGAGATGCTTTTTAGTGATGACTCTTAAAGAAAAACTAGGATTGTAGATAGGTAAAATTATTTGCAGTTTTTATTACCCGTAACTAGAGTGTTCAGGCTCTATTCACCTGTAAAGCATACAGAACAGCTGGTTTAAGGTTTCTAATAAATGAAAGACCTCCAGGATCTATGCAGGGGAAAGCAGGGAAGACATTCATTATTACCAGGGTCTAAGCCAGGAGCCAGAGCCCCTGTGCTCCCTTCACCCCCACCCCACACACTGTGTTAGCTCTGGTCTCTTATGCTGTCCCAACTCCTGGACAGAAGAAGTTATGGAGTGGTTTATTGTAAGAATCACGATTAGTTTTTAAACTAGGAGTTTTACAAGGTGTGACCAAAATATACAGTGAATGTTTAGGTTTGTTGTTGTTATTATTTTAAATTATAGAAAAAGATACATTGTCATTAATCCCCCTCAGAAAATTCCCCCTCACTTCAAATTCACTTTCCCCACCATTCCACTACTGTCTGAAGCACTTCTGGAAGACCTCTTTTGTTGTGTGAGAGTCTCTGGCTGGGATACCGTGAGGGCTTCGAGTTCCTGGACTGATCCAAAATGTTTACCTTTTGGGGTCAGTTCCACTTTGGGGAAGAGCCAGAAGCCACACCATGCCAGAAGTGGTGAAAAGGGTAAATGAGGGCACCCCGCCGTGTTTTTACAATTCTGCCGTTCTTTTGGGTGGCGCTTAACAGTGGTATTTGCTGTATTGTTTGATCACACTTCATAAAGACACTCACAAAGGGGAACGGCCAGAACTGCTTCAGAAAGAGGCAAGCATGATGGGATGTGTTCAGAGGTAAGGGGAGCACTTTGAAGGGAATTAACAGCAATGCATGTTTTACTGCAATACATGTTTTAAAAATTTAAACGCTCACCCTATATTTTCATCATATCTCGTAAACCTAACTTTAGAGATTCTGACTCCCCAGGTTTGGAGCAAAACCAATGAATAGGTTAATATTTCTTAAGAGAATGTTTGCTTCTAGAAGTATAAAAGGCTAATACAGAGTACTGAAAGGCTTCCCACCACAAAATAATTATATCTTGCATAAAGCATACTTTTCACTGCATTGTTGGTTTATAGGTAGTACGGAAACCTCAAAAAACAAATGTAGTAGGCCTCATGCCTACCTTCAAAAAAGGTAGAACAGGGCTGGGAATTTAGCTCAGTAGCACTGCACCTGCCTTGCAAGCACAAGGTCCCGAGTTAGATCCCTGGTACAAAAAAAAAAGGTAGAAGACTAGGACATGGCAGTGTGGCTGGAGCAACTGGACACGACCTGCCAGTTGAAGAGATTTGTTAACCGCTGCTACAGAGCAGAAATTTCTGAACCTGATGAGATCAACCCGAGTCCTGCAGTTGGTACCAATCTTCTGACACAGGAACACTCTAAACTTGACACCTGGTATCAATCTTCTGCAGACAAACAAGATGAGCCTAGCACTGATGCCAATCTCCTGGCATGAGGTCACCTGGATGAAATATCAAAGACGGTATTTTAAAACACAACAGTGATTGACTCTGTACCACTGCCCTCGTGTTCTTGCAGTGATCCATTCTGCATGCAGGACACGTCTGTTTCTCCTTCGATGAACCCCTTTCTCACTGAGCACTTCTTCTATGCTTCCTTTTCCTTTTATTCTTATTTTGCCCCAAATAAATGTTAATCTCTCACATTCACCAGTTGTTCCATCCAGTTCACTGAATGGAACAGTAAGAACCTGGGAAGCGCTGCTGGTCCCTACACCACCTAGTAATGTTCGGTGAGCCAGCCAGGAGGTCAAAGAAGGGACAGGAGGTAAGACCACTTGGCACAGGTATGTTTCTCTGCTCTTTCTGAAATCTGTAGACTCAAGCCAACAAGGACTGTTTTAATGACTGGTTTAATCTTTTTTCCTCTCTCTCCCCCTTAGGAAGGCCCAATCCTTTCCCAATCATCTTTCAAGCCCCTACTTATTATCCCTTTACTCCCAGGACAAGCAAGGAGAAGCAGGGAGCTAAAAGGTGGTAAAAATCAGTGGAAGCCACGGGCCATCTAGCCCTGCAAGTGGCCATGAGACTGAGCATCTCTGAGTAGCCCAAGGACAAAGCCAAGTGCCTATGGGGGGAGGTTAGACTCCTGGGAAAGGGTGGAGCTATAATCAGCACCCCCACTTCCTGTTGGGCACTCCCACTTCCGGTTGTAAACAGATGGGGCTGTTTTACAGACACTGTGGTCTCCAGCACACCTGAGCTCCTGTGGCTGGGCCCCAGCAGTACCCAGAGAAAGTGGCCCATCCTAGAGCCAAGACCACTGCTGGTGGGCACTCCCAGAAACATGTAACCCATGGAGCGGCATCTGCCAGTTCAAAAGCAGTTTCCACCCAGTATTTAAAAGCAGGAAACAGCTCCTGCCCATTTAAAAGGGGCAAAGGTCTACTTAAAAGAGGAGCTGTCCATTTAAATGTACAGGCACAACGCTGAAGAACAGGACAGCTCTGCTGCTTTCTGCTGCTCTCCCTCCCTTTGGCCATTGGGAACTGTTGCCTTTCTAATCGTTACTTGTTTAAAACCTAAACTCTTTTAACCCAGTTGATTTATTTACAATACTTGGTAAAGAGTCCAGGAGACCCTAAATTAGAAACATCTGATCTACCTCAGTTAACTGTTGACTGCTTAGATTGTTTGACCCAGAAAGAATTGTACAATGTTGACAAATGTAAAAACTAAGAAAAGATTTCACTTGAAAGTGTAGAAATACTGGAGTAAGTGTTTAATTCAGGTATTTTCAAGGTGCAGAACTTAATTTGTTTACCTTTTCTATAATTACATGTAAAAGTTCATTGAAGTGCCATTTTATAAATTAGCTATAGATAAGCAGATGCTTCTGGTGAAGTAAAAATGCATAGCTGCTCTGCAGAGTACTTTAATCATAAGTGAACATGACTTGACCTACTCATGAAAAAGGCATTTAAAGCTATTTTAAGTGTCTTTTTATTTGCATGATATTATGCTTACTGTTCCAATCTGGTGCTAAGTAAAGTTAGTCTTGAGCACTTGCAAGTATTTCCAACTTTCAAAACTGAATGAGAAAAATTGTGTTACCATCCTATGTTACCACTTTCCTTTGGTGTTCGAAAGTACTTTTGATTCTGAGAGACTTAACCAAGTATACAATCCAGGTGGGTTTCCTTGGACTGTTACTAGCTGGTTTGCTGCATGTTAATACACATTCCCTTAATGTATTCTTTTGAATTGAATTTGTTCTTTTAAGGATGGTGTTAGCCTGCCTTTTGCTACTCCTGTAGGTTTGGCTGAAGCATAGTTAGCAGCCTATGTATTTGCTCACTCTGCAGTGACGCTGTTTAACAACTCTTTCCTTGTTACGGTTATTTTTTATGGTAAGTGCTTCATTTTATCTCTGGTGCAGTCTCTCAGAAACTCTTTCAACAGAGGATATGATAGCAAATGCGGAAGTTGCTGCAGATTCCTTTTGCCACTGTATTTGTTGATTTCTTCTAATTTAAAAAGTTGCTGTTTTATCTTTGTAAGACTTGTGAAGAGACACAGATTGTGGTTTATGCAGCCTTACAGATAAGAGCTAAAGTATCTACTTTCAGGTGTGGGACTTGGTTGGATCTCCCCTTTATTTCAACATTCAGATAGTTACTTTAGATTCCCACCTTTACTGCTTTTATGAGTGTAAGACATTATTTTCCAGGCAGTCAGGGTAGTCCTCACAGGGATCCATCCTGATCTGCTTCTCAAGTGGCTGAAGGAGCCCTTGAGGGCTCCACCCTCTTCCCTAAGGAATTCAAAGGCCACAGTGTGGGGAGTTCAAGGCTAAGGACCACTAGAAAACTAAGACACTAGTTTACTAGAGCTACTAGAGCTACAAGAGCTTCGAGCGGAGATGTCTGAGGCTAAGGACCAGGAAAGTACTCGAGTATCACAAAGGGTACATTGTGAACTCACAGATCCTCCTTCTGCAGTGGGTGCCCTCTGAAGGAAAGTTCAGACAGTTTTCTCTCTCTCTAGGCCTCAAGATGAGCCATGGAAAGTATCCTGAGCAACACCCTGCAGGTCCTAGCAACCTTGCCATTAGGTCTCAGCCTTCAACAGTGGTAACCATTTGACCCCAACAGTCTGAAAAAGGAACAGCTTATCT